TATATTTTCTTCGTTTGTGGTTACTGCCTTAGAAGTTGCACTTAGAGCATCCTCCCTTACCCAATGATTATGAGATACTTATCTTCACTTTAATAGTATATTTAGTCTAGAAATATGTTTATATAAATTCTTGAGAATATTAGTATTATATTTTTGTAAAAGAAAAAATATCTTTGAGTGTACACATGGAATAATATAGAAGTTTACATATAAAAATGTAAATTATAGGGGGCCAGGCACAGTGGCTCACACCTGTAATCCTAGCACTTTGGGAGGCCCAAGCAGGTGGATCACGAGGTCAGGAGTTCAAGACCACCCCGGCTAACAGGGTGAAACCCTGTTTCTACTAAAAATACAAAAAATTAGCTGGGCATGGTGGCACGTGCCTATAATCCAAGCTACTCGGGAGGCTGAGGCAGGATAATTGCTTGAACCCAGGTGGAGGTTGCAGTGAGCGGAGATTGTACCACTACACTTCAGCCTAGGGGACAGAGCGAGACTCTGTCTCAAAAAAAAAAAAAAAAATGTAAATTATGGGCTATGCGCAGTGGCTCATGCCTGTAATCCCAGCCCTTTGGGAGGCCGAGGTAGACAGATCACATGAGGTCAGGAGTTTGAGCCCAGCTTGGCTAACATAGTAAAACGCTGTTTCTCCTAAAAATACCAAAAAATTAGCCAGGTGTCATGGCACATGCCTGTAATCCCAGCTACTCGGGAGGCTGATGCCGGAGAATCACTTGAACCCAGGAGGCGGAGGTTGCAGTGAGCCGAGATCGCGCCATTGCACTGCAGCTTGGGCAACAAAAGTGATGGTGGCTCATGCCTGTCATCTCAGCACTTTGGGAGGCTGAGGTGGGTGGATCATCTGAGATCGGGAATTCAAGACCAACCTGGCCAACATGGTGAAAACTTGTCTCTACTAAAAATACAAAAAATATTAGCTGGGCATATGACACATTCCTGTAATTCAAGCTACTTGGGAGACTGAGACAGAAGAATCGCTTGAACCTGGAAGGCAGAGGTTGCGGTGAGCCAAGATCACACCACTGCACACTACAGCCTGGGTGACAGATCGAGACTCTGTTTAAAAAAAAAAAAAAAAAAGTAAATTATGATTATCTGGGTGGTAGTATTAAACTTTATTTTTATTTATCTTTATTTTTCATATTTCCACAATGAACGTAATTTCTTAAAAAAAAAAAAAAAATCTATGTCCAAAACGTGGTCAGTCTTGGTTAAAAAAAAAAAAATTAAAAGTAGGCCAGGTGCAGTGGCTCACACCTGTAATACCAGCACTTTGGGAGGCTGAGGTGGGTGGATCACGAGGTCAAGAGATTGAGACCAGCCTGGCCAATATGGTGAAACCCCATCTCTACTAAAAATATAAAAATTAGCCGGGCGTGGTGGCAGGTGCCTATAATCCCAGCTACTTGGGAGGCTGAGGCAGGAGAAATGCTTGAATGTGGAAGGTGGAGGTTGCAACGAGCCAAGATCATGCCACTGCACTCCATCCTGGGCGACAGAGCAAGACTCCATCTCAAGAAAAAAAAAAAATCAAAAGTAAATTGGATTATCATTATCCAATCCAAGATATCAACAGCCATGATTCTTGGTGGAAGGGAGTAACACCCCCACTCTCCACACCCCTCCTACACACCTGGGCTTAAGTCTGCAAGTTGGACAAGGCATATCTACATATGCAATACTAAATTGTTTTTCGGTTTGCGGTTGGGGGGAACCTAAGAACATCATTTTGTGATGCTACTAACAAAAGAACTTCACAAAATCCAGGCTGATAAAACATTTGTTTAAACACTGCTGTGGCCAGAAATAGTGAAAGCAGGGACTGGAGTGGATATTTGTAGACTCATGTTCAGAGCAGCATTATTCACAATTCCCAAAAGGTGGAAGTAACCCAGATGTCCATCGACGATGAATGAATAAACAGAACGCAGTATAGACATACAATGGGGTATCAGCCTTCAAAAGGCGTGAAATTTTGACACATGCTACAATATCCATACCCCTGTGCCCACCTCTTCCAGGCACAGCCCTTGGTCCTTGCTGCATCTCCCTTAAAAACACAGGGAACTTTACAAAGGATATCACAGCTGGAAAGGACCCCAGACATAACAATGGTAGCCCATCCACTTCATTTTAGAGATGAGGAAAATGAGGTCCAAACAAGTAAAGGGCTGCCTGGAGAGCCCATGGTGAATTAATGGCACGGTTGGAAGCATCCAACTGTGGCAACACGGATGAACCTGAAGCATTATGCTAAGTGAAATACGCCAGTTACAGAAGGACAAATATTGTATGATTCCACTTAGATGAGGTTCCTAGAGTAGTCAAATTCATAGAGACAGAAAGTAGAATGGTGGTTGCCAGGGGATGGGGGAGGAGGGAATGAGGACTTGGCATTTGATGGGTACCGAGTTTCACTTGAGCTAGGTGTAGTGGCACATGCTTATGGTCCCAGCTATTCAATAGGCGGAGGTGGGAGAATTACATGAGCCTAGGAGTTCAAGCTAAGATCGCACCAGTGTACCCCAGCCTGGGTGACAGAGTAAGTCCCTATCTCCAAAAAACAAAACACAGAACTTCAGTTGAGAAAGGTTAAGAAGTTCTGGAGCTGGATGGTGGTGACAGTTGTACAACAATGTGAATGTACTTAATGCCACAGAACTGTACACTTAAAAATTAAATGCTAAGTTCTGTTATGTATTTGTTACCACAATAAAAACAAAACCTACTGTCCTATGAAAAAATGTCCTAAATCTTTAGCAAGGTATAAGATATCTATCACAATATGTCCCAATCTATCTGTAATCTCTCTTCATTTCCTACAACTTCCCCTCATTGCTGCTTAAGAAAAGGGAGCTTTTTATTCTCCCTTCTATCCTGGCACCTAGAATAGTACCTGACATAGTTATAGGTGGTTTGTTCTGACTGAGTTACTGCTTTAACATCACTAAACGTTTTGTTATTCCTCTAGTAATCATCCATGTACCTTCACACCTTCACATATGGGCCTTTATACGTGAGTCATTCTTCCTTGAATAGCTATCCTCTTCTTCACTCAGCAAACACCTATTAATTCTTTTTTTTTTTTTCCTTCTGTGTTTTGAGACAGGGTCTCTCTCTGTCGCCCAAGCTGGAGTGCAGTGGCATGATCTTGGCTCACTGCTGCATCTACCTCCCCAACTCAAGCGATCCTCTGGCCTTAGCCACCACAAGTAGCTGGAACTACAGGCATGTGCCATGACACCCACCTAATTTTTATTTTTTGTTTGAGACAGAGTCTCACTCACTCTGTTACCCAGGCTGGAATGCAGTGGTGTGATCTCAGCTCACTGCAACCTCCGTCTCCTGGGTTCAAGTGATTCTCCTGCTTTAGCCTCTGGAGTAGCTGGAATTACCGGTACACACCACCACGCCTGGCTAATTTTTTTATTTTTAGTAGAGACAGGGTTTCACTTTGTTGGCCAGGCTGGTCCCAAACTCCTGGCCTCAAGTGATCCACCAACCTTGGCCTCCCAAAGTGCTGGGATTGCAGGCATGAGCCACTACCCCCAGCCATAATTTTTGTATTTTTTGTAGAGACAAAGTTTAGCCATGTTGCTCAGGCTGGTCTTGAACTCCTGAGCTCAAATGATCCGACCACCTTGGCCCCCCAGAGTGTTGGAATTATGGGCGTGAGCCACTGTGCCTGGCCTTATTAATTGTTTAGGACCCAGAAATATCATCACTTCTGTTGGGTCTTTCTCCAAAGAGGTGTCATTTACACCTTCATTATTTCCTACCATTTTATACAAGATTACAACCTCTATTTAGCACATCTTATTATTTGCATACATGTTTTTCCCAACCACTCTAAGTCCTGGGACAACATATCTTTTTCTTTCGGTTCAAGTTTAGAGCTTGGCACATAGTAAAAGCCTCCTTAAATGCTGCAAGAAAAAGCAAGTGATTTTAATTTCCACAAACTTCAGGCTGCCTTGACTGGCCTCTACCTGTGAATGTGAGTCACCTGCTGTTATCTTCAAAACCTCAGGAACTTCAGACCCAATTCATCCTGGCTCCCCAGTGGGTTCAGAAAGGACCCAAGTGCACAGGGGGCCGACATCGGCCAATCCTAGGGTGGGAAAAAGTTAGGTATCCATGCCCCTGTGCCCACCTCTTCCAGGCACAGCCCTTGGTCCTTGCTCTAGCTCTCCTAAAGACACAGAAAACATTAAGAGGTTCAGTTTAGGCCGGACGTGGTGGCTCACGCCTGTAATCCAAGCACTTTGGAGGCGAAGGCGGGCGGATCACCCGAGGTCGGGAGTTCAAGACCAGCCTGACCAACATGGTGAAACCCCGTCTTTAAAAAAAAAAAAAAAAGTTCACTTTACAAAAATATTACAGCTGGAAAGGGCCTCAGTGGTAGCCCATCCACTTCATTTTACAGACGAGGAAAGTGAGGTCTAAACAAATAAAAGGGCCGACTGGAGAGCCCGTGGTGAATTAATGGCAGAGTCGGAACTACAGCCCAGGCCTCCCTCCTTTCTAAAGTCTAAAACATTCTTGGAGTTCAGTTTCCTGTTCTGTAAAACGGGGTGAAAAATTAGCCTCTCAGGACAGTGGTGAGGAGCAAATGAGATAATTAATGTGAAATTATTATATTTGCAACAAACTCAAAGCAGAGCGAGCTGATGTAGAGGAATCTAGTCGGTGTCCGGAGACCTGTGTTCCAGTCACGTCATCTCTGAGCCTCAGTCTCCTCATCTACAAATGCAGGGACCTGGCCCGGCTGACCGCCGAGACCCTTTCAGCTCTGCCGACCTTGAGGCTTTTCCTGTGGGGCGGACCCTGGGGGAAAAAAACGAGGGAGCTCGCGGGGGCCCTCGAGTTACCATCCTGCAGCAGCGCAGTCTTCTCGGCCGTCCGCAGACTCTCCAGCCATCCCGTCACCGCCATCTTTCCTCTGCCAAGCAGCGCGCCCGGCCGCTGCCATGGCAACCGTTCCACTGAGGGTCACTTCCGGCTGACTCGGAAGCTATTCTGGCCATTTGCCCTCCTTTCCCACTTCGTCCGCTCTCATTGGCTCTCCTGGTAAGTGGCTTATTCCTGCCCACCCGCGGGTGATCAGCTTGGCCAGTTGTCGAACCCACCCGGGGACCGACTTCGGGGGTTGGAGAGGGACTCTTGGGGCCGGGGTCGGGCGCTCCAGCTTTCCTCTAGCCCGAAGCTGGGATTCCCCGGCCTGCACCAGCTGCGTACACGGCGGGTACAGCACACCTGCCCGGGCCTTCTCCACCCCCAGCTGCGAGACCGAGACTCTTCCAATCCCGGAGAGTGCCCCACAGCTGCTGCGGCCGTGCCCCATCTCCCCGCAGCTGTGGGGCTGAGCACTCCCGTGCCGAGTGGCTGAAACCAGGGCAGGTGCAGGGCGTTCCCACTCATCCCCCGAAAGTCCCCCTCCTTAGGTTTTCCTCTGCAACTCTGTGTTGAAGGTAGAGAAAGATTATGTGGGGTTTATGGTGCAGGTTCTCCCCAGTCTCCGCTCCACTCCCTAAAGCTCGATTCCCTAACCCAGTATCCCATTTTGGTAAAGCCCTTCAGAAGGGGGCTGCAGCAGTAGGGCTGTGCTGAATTCTTAGAGCAACCCCACTGAGGAATGATGTTGTTTCCTGCTCCTCAAAAGTACGCCCAATGGTCCCAGTCTTCTCCTCATTTCCCCTAATACTCCGAAAGACTTAACACTTTGAAAGGCTGGGGAGTGTGAAGCTAGGCTACACCAGTGAAGTTTAACGCGGTTTGAGGAGGCCCCCCACAACCACTGTCTCCCCGAAGTGGGCTGCTATCCCCAAGGCCTGGTCAGGAAACACCCTACCTCCATAGGCAAATAGGTTGGAGAGCCTAAATTCTGAATTTCCACCTGACAGCTGCCCTGGCCAACCCTCTAATAGACTGGGATCCAGCCATACTTCAATGGATCCCAGGGGTATCTTGAAGGCATTTCCCAAGCGGAAGAAAAATCATGCCGATGCATCATCAAAAGTACTTGCAAAGATTCCCAGGAGGGAAGAGGGAGAAGCAGCAGAAGGTGAGCTCACCCACCCTCAGAACCCTCCTTCCCTTGAACCCTCAGCCTTCATGCGCTTCAGCCCTACATTGTTCATGTCCAGAATCAGATATTGGAGCTGACTTTGCCTGTCCAGGGCTTGCAGGGCTGTTTGTACCTGCTTTGTACTAAGCTTGGTCCTGGATCTGGGACAGGCCATTTGCTGTGTTATCTTCTTTTCTACCCAGAGACCTCTATTAATCAGAAAAGACTCCCTGGACCCTCAGGGAATGACCAGTAGAATTTTTGTCCTGGGGGACTGGGCAGAAATCCCCTCCATTACCCAGGTTTGTTGTTAGCTGTTTTGCAGCCAAATTGACAAATAAATGCAGAGGCTTTGGGGACAGGATTGTCAGGTCTGGCAGACTGTAAGGGCAAGAAACACATGTAATGGCAAGAAATATGTGCTTTGTTGAAAGAATAAATAATAAGGGATTCAAAGTAAGGAGGGAGGCGGGGTGTGGTGGTTCATGCATGTAATCCCAGCACTTTGGGAGGCTGAGGCAGGCAGATCACCTGATGAACCCAGGAGTGTGAGACCAGCCTGGGCAACATGGCAAAATCCCATCTCTACTAAAAATACAAAAAATTAGCCAGGCATGGTGGCACACACCTGTAGTCCCAGTTACTTGGGAGGCTAAGGCACGAGAATTGCTTGAACCCGGGAGATGGAGGTTGCAGTGACCTGAGATCATGCTACTGCACTCCTGCCTGGGCGACAGAGTGAGCCTGTCTCAAAAAAACAAACAAACAAAAAAAAACAAACAAAACAAAGTAAGAAGGGAGGAGGCATTAATTCAACAGATATTTACAGGTTACTTACAATGTGCCAGACACTTCTAGGTTGCACCAGGAAACAGGATGTATCCTTGTCCCGGGCGGGCAAGGTGGCTCACGCCTGTAATCCTAATACTTTGAGAGATTGAGGCGGGCAGATCATGAGGTCAAGAGATGGAGACCATCCTGGCCAACATGATGAAACCCCGTCTCTACTAAAAATACAAAAATTAGCTAGGCATGGTGGCGCTTGCCTGTAATCTCAGCTACTCGGGAGGCTGAGGCAGGAGAATCAGTTGAACCCAGGAGGTGGAGGTTGCAGTGAGCTGAGATCATGCCATTGCACTCCAGCCTGGGCAACAGAGCCAGACTCCATCTCAAAAAAAAAAAATTATTGTCCGTTACATTCGAGTGCTGGCCTGTGAGAAAATTTGCTATATGTAGAAGGGAAACTGGATGGAAGGGAAATGCTTATTTTCAGGGTAGCGGACTGTAAACACTTCATTCAGATCATGTTAGAAGTTATGTTGTAGCCAGGGGGTGGCAGATAAAAATGTTATGACAGTAGTCATCTGGATGTGCCTTCCACAGAGTGGCTGAGCTCCCTTCGGGCCCATGTCGTACGCCCTGGCATTGGACGAGCCCGGGCAGAACTCTTTGAGAAGCAGATTGTCCAGCATGGTGGCCAGCTATGCCCTGCCCAGGCCCCAGGTGTCACTCACATTGTGGTGGATGATGGCATGGACTACGAGCGGGCCCTCCGCCTTCTCGGATTACCCCAGCTGCCCGAGGATGCTCAGCTGGTGAAGTCAGCCTGGCTGAGCTTGTGCCTTCAGGAGAGGAGGCTCGTGGATGTAGCTGGATTCAGCATCTTCATCCCTAGTAGGTGGGTTGATCCCAGTCTTTTTAAAAAATGTTTTCTAGTAGCATCTTGAGCTCTCTTCTTAAATTATTAAAAATAACTACCATTAATTTAAAAATTAGCCAGGCATGGTAGTGTGTGCCTGTAGTCCCAGGTACAAGAGGCTAGGGTGGGAGGATTGATTGAGCCCGGGAGGTTGGAGCTACACTGAGCCTTGATTGCAACACCCTACTCCACCCTGGGTGACAGAGCAAGACCCTGTCTCAAAATAAATCCCGAACACCTCAAAAAACTCATTGTTTTAATTGGACACATGGGGAAACCAAGTATTTTGGAGTACAGAAGGACTGGGGACAGATAAAGGGTGAGACCTTTGGTGTCTTAACCACCTATCACTATCCCCATAGGTACTTGGACCAGCCACAGCCAAGCAAGACAGAGCAGGATTCTTCTATTCCTTCTGGCACCCATGAGGCCCTGCTTCAGACAGCGCTTTTTCCTCCTTCTTCTCCCACCAGACCTGTGTCTTCTCCCCAAAAGACAAAAGAGGCACCAAACACCCAAGCCCAGGTCAGAAGCCTCCCATCCCTCAGAGCTCCCTTCCCCTAGGAAACAGATCACAGAAATGGGGAGGGCCTGATGGCTGTTCAGAAAGTCACAGGCCCCTGAGAAAGGAGCGCTATTGTGAAGCCACTTAGCTCTTCCTAACACTCATCACTGACGCATTCATCTAGGCCACATCTACCACACACCACTGGGGATCCTAAGGCTAGGTACTGGGGGGGGAGCTTAAGGCAATGTGGCCCCACACTCAAGGAGATCCAAGTCTGATGCAGAAGGCCCGCCCCATTCTTAGGTCTGACTAGAAGACCCTCCCCCTGACAAAGAAGATGACCCCATGACCCCCATCTTCAAGGATCCCTTCTCCTGGAGAATAAGAATTTATTGTTTCCTTTCCTTTTCTACCCCAAGCCCATCTCTGACGATGAAACCAGTGATGGGGAAGAAACCCAGGTTAGCACAGCTGATCTGGAAGCCCTCATCAGTGGCCACTACCCCACCTCCATTGAGGGAGACTGTGAGCCTCGCCTAGCCCCTGAGGTCCTGGATAAGTGGGTCTGTGCACAGCCCTCAAGCCAGAAGGTGACCAACCACAACCTCCATATCACAGAGAAGCTGGAAGTTCTGGCCAAAGCCTACAGTGTCCAGGGGGACAAGTGGAGGGCCTTGGGCTATGCCAAGGCCATCAATGCCCTCAAGAGCTTCCACAAGCCTGTCACCTCGTACCAGGTAGCCAGGGGCTAGGGTGGGAAGAGGGGCCTTTTCTTTACTAGCCAGGGGTTAGTGAAGGCGCTGCCAGTCACCAGTGGGGTTCTGGTACAATGGTGAAGATTTTATGGTGTCTAGGACTTGCACTTCCTTTTTTTTCTAAAAGGAAAATTGATGAAAGCAGATTGGCAAAATCTTGATAGTTGTTGAAGCTGGGAGATGGGTACTTGGGGGTTTGTTATACTGATCCTTCTACTTTTGAATTTTTTAACATAATTAAAAGTTTTCTTATTTTTCATTTTGTTTATTTATTTATTTAGTAGAGATGGGGTTTCGCCATGTTATCCAGGCTGGTCTCAAGCACCTGGGCTCCAGAGATCCACCTTCCTTAGCCCTGCAAAGTGCTGGGATTACAGACGTGAACCACTGTGCCCAGCCTAAAAGGTTTTTAAAAAGAAGTTTAGATTCTTAAGCCTAACAGACTAGGGTTTGAATTCTGGTTCCTGTCACTCACTAACTGTGTGACTCTAGTCAAGTTACTTAAACTCTCAGAGCATCAGTTTTCTTATTAGTAAAAAGGGGCTACTATTCAATGAAATGGAACCTGTACCACAGGACCTGACATACAGTAAGCTCTCAGTAAATGTTAGCTCTTGCTGTTGGAATGATGATGATGATGGTGGTAGTGGTGGTGGTGGTGACTAATATCATCATTATTTTCTACTTCTTACTGCTGATCTCCAAAAGACAAATTATCCAGCCCTCATTCTATCCAAAATTCTCATCTTTATCTACAACCCAAGCTTTACACAGCCACACAGTTGCCAAGCAGCCAGGCTGGCTTTCCCCCCAGCATCTGCTAGAGGAGTCAGCTTCCTTTCCACTGGCTCTACCTCCTCCATCTCCTCACTCTTCTTTCTTGCCTCTGCTTCCTCCTCCTCTAGGAGGCCTGCAGTATCCCTGGAATTGGGAAGCGGATGGCTGAGAAAATCGTAGAGATCCTGGAGAGTGGGCATCTGCGGAAGCTGGACCATATCAGTGAGAGCGTGCCTGTCTTGGAGCTCTTCTCCAATATCTGGGGAGCTGGAAGCAAGACTGCCCAGATGTGGTACCAACAGGTCACATGCTAGCCCAGCCACTACTTCAGTTTTGCTGTGTCTCGGAGTTCTCTACCCTTTTCTCTGATGGGAATGCACCCACAGTATAGGGAGACCATTTTTTCGAGGGAACCAGGACTCATACAGACCCCTTAGCTCCCAGAGCAGCCTTGTTGCTTGGTATCCTTAAGAAAGAGTAGGCAGAGACAAGAAGTATGTTTCTCTGTCTCCCGAGTCCAGCAAGGGCCTTCCTAAGGAGGCCAGGCCTTGACACTGCATGTCTAGAGCAGTGGTTCCCAATCCTGGCTCTACTCACAATCACCAGGGGAGCTTGATAACGATGAAGATGCCCAGGCCCATCCTCAGACTGATGGAATCGTGAACTGTATTTTAGGATAGTGGCAAGGCTGGATTACGGCATGTTTTCCATACCCCCTGCCTTTCCCAAGTCCTGCTGAGTACAGACCCAACCACCCCTAGGACAGTCCTGCCCCTAGCCTTCCCTAGAGTCTGGGGCAATAGAAGCCTCGTGTGTGCTCACTCATACCTCTTCATTGGTCTTGGAGCCTCACATCTTCCCATCTGGCTGCTTTTTTCCAGGGCTTCCGAAGTCTGGAAGAAATCCGCAGCCAGGCCTCCCTGACGACCCAGCAGGCCATTGGCCTGAAGCATTACAATGACTTCCTGGAACGCATGCCCAGAGAGGAGGCTACAGAGATCGAGCAGACAGTAAGCAGGTGTCCCAGAGCAGTGAGGACAGCCAGGGCCTGCTGTAAGGTCTTGGGTCAAAGCCAAGAACCCCTGACTGCTCAGCTGGGGAGCACAGCAGGCAGAGAAAACTGGGTCACCAGAGATTGAGGAGAGAGCAAGTTGAAACTGAAGCTCCAGGCCCAGAGGCCGGGGTGGGTGGCTTTGGGAGGAAAGAGCTGTAACATCAGGTCCCCGGATTCTAGTTCTCGGTAGTCAGACCTATTAGGATTGGATTTGATTCTTGTCTGGTTCGTGTTAGGATTGGGTTAATGTTGGGGTTAGATTACAGGCAAATTATATCTGTATTTCTTGAGGCTAGGGTAGATCAGAACAGAGGTTTTTAATGTTTTTTTAATTTATTTTTATTTCACCAGCTTCTTGAGAACCTGATGAAAACTGTGGGCTGTTTTCTCCCCAGAATGCACAAATGTGCAAAGGTTTTTGTTTTTTCCGGATGTATGGACCACCCGAGGCCGGCTCAGGATTTGGGGCAGAGTTGGTGTAGGAGCACAGTGCCAGTAGGATTTGGTTTGTGGCTGGAAGAAAGCTCCATCAAGATCGAGTTAAGACCAGGCGCCGTGGCTCGCGCCTTTAATCCCAGCACTTTGGGAGAGGCCAGGGCGGGTGGATCATGAGCTCAGGAGTTCGAGACCAGCCTGGCCAACATGGTGAAACCCTGTCTCTATAAAACATACAAAAATTTCCAGCCTGGCCAACATGGCAAAACCTCATCTCTACTGAAAATACAAAAAGTTAGCCAGGTGCTGTGGCTCATGCCTATAATCCCAGTTACTTGGGAGGCTGAGGTGGGAGATTTGCTTGAACCTGGGAGGCAGAGGTTGCAGTGTGCCAAGATCGTGCCACTACACTCTAGCCTGGGCAACAGGGTTCTCAGAGCTCCCTACCCTGTTCTCTAACTCTGTCTCAAAAAAAAAAAAAAAAAAGATTGAGTTAAAGTTAGGCTTTCATTAGGCATAGGATTTTCTTAATGCTGGTTGCTTTTAAGTTTTGTAGTTGTCCAAGACATAAGGTTTGATTTAGAGTTGGGTTAGTGATTAGGTTCATCTGAAACCTAGATGAGAGACAGACTAGACTGCATTTAGGGCTCGGCGTGTCATTGTTCAGTGGGCATTAGGATTAGGAGCTGCTTGTGAGAGGCAAGTTTGCTCACTTTTGCTGGGGATTCTGATAGAGTGGGATCCCATGGGGACTGGCCCAGTTTGGTTGAAATCAGCCTCCAGCTCCATTCCAGGCCACAGGGCTGTGAGGCCGGTGTGAGATGGATGGACAGGCCTCTTTGTCTGCCCATCACCAGGCCTTGGTGCTAGTGATGACACCGTCACTCAGCCATGGTGTCCGGGCATGGAGAATGCTGCAGTCAGTCCCCAGCCTGTTGGAACAAAAGAGGCTTCCCACCTGGCCTCCCGTGCCCCCATGTCAGGGCTCCAGCCATAGGAGTTTTGATGGGATTACTCACGTGGACCTCCTCCTTCCATTCTCTTGGGAGGCTCAAGAAGGGAGTAAGGGGATTAGCAGAGCCCTCCTGTCAGGAGACTTGAGGTATCAGGCCCCAGAATTCTCAGTGTCCTGGGGTGGAGGCGGGAGGTCATCTGCATATGAAAGAACTTCAGTGTCTCAGGGGTGGAGGCTAAGGGGTTTGTTTTTCCTCTGAGAGGGGCAATCCGTCAGCTGACAGTTGCTGTCTCAGCTCCCTCCCCACCAAGAAAGGATGTGGTGTGGGTTCAGAATTGCCCCTTCTTTGCTTTCTTTCCTCTGCTTTCCCACAGGTGCAGCTGGATTTCTGTGCTCCGCTTTCTCCCAGGCCTGGGCCTGGGCCATGGTGCCAGCCACCTGCTCAGGCCTCAAGCCCCAGCTCACACATTCCACCTCTAGCTCCAAATCAGTAGATATGTGGGGCTGCCTAGACCTGGCTGAGGGCCTTCAGCACCTGGCCCCTTGTCCTAAGTGGAGTTTCACAGACATGGGCACATGGGCTGGGGCAGAGAGAACCTCTGTTTTCCTACCCTTGAAGAGCTCCACAGGGCAAGCTCAGTGCCCACTCTCAGAAGCAGAGTTGGCACCTTCTGCCATCTCTCCTCAGGCTTGCCTCCTGCACAGTGAGCTGCTTCTCTTCTGTCCTAGCGAAGGGAAAGAACAGCAGCTCCTCAGGGTCGATTATCCAGGGCCAGCAGCAGGCGTCTGGGAATGGGCATAAGCTGAGGGTGTGGGCCCGAGTCAGGGAAGGCCCTTGTGCTGCGGTAGGAGAGGAGCTCCCCACAGCCGCTTACCTGTCATTGCTCTCTTTCCCAGGTCCAGAAAGCAGCCCAGGCCTTTAACCCCAGGCTACTCTGTGTGGCATGTGGCTCATACCGACGGGGAAAGGTGACCTGTGGTGATGTTGATGTGCTCATCACTCACCCAGATGGCCGGTCCCACCAGGGTATCTTCAGTCGCCTCCTTGACAGCCTTCGGCAGCAAGGTATTAGCTCCATCCTTGGGTGAGCAGGTTGATGGAGGGCAGCACAGGGCTGGGGGCCCCTGAGAGGGTGAACCTCAGAGTTCCACTCCTGAGGCAGGAAGCAGGGGAGCAGTGCCCTGCCAGCATCCCACCTCTCTGTCGGGGCTGGGATCCTCTCAAGGGAGGGATGAAGCAGCCCTGCCACACCTATGTGGAGGTGCTCAGTGAACCCTAAAGGCCAAGGATCTCATCTGATCTCTCCATGACACTACAGGGGAGATGGGAATTACTATCCATGTTTTATAGAAAAGGAGAAGGGCCCAGAGAGGGTAGTGACCCCAGCTAATGCCTGGGCAAGCCCCAGCTTAGAGATCAGGAGAGACCTGGGAGGCTGGGATAGCCCAGGCCTGGCTCCCAGCCCTCCCAGTAGTCCCCTCTGTTGGGCCAGGGTTCCTCACAGACGACTTGGTGAGCCAAGAGGAGAATGGTCAGCAACAGAAGTACTTGGGGGTGTGCCGGCTCCCCGGGCCAGGGCGGCGGCACCGGCGCCTGGACATCATTGTGGTACCCTACAGTGAGTTTGCCTGTGCCCTGCTGTACTTCACCGGCTCTGCACACTTCAACCGCTCCATGCGGGCCCTGGCCAAAACCAAGGGCATGAGTCTGTCAGAACATGCCCTCAGCACTGCTGTGGTCCGGAACCCCCAAGGCTGCAAGGTAGGGCCTGGCCGAGTGCTGCCTACTCCCACTGAGAAGGATGTCTTCAGGCTCTTAGGCCTCCCCTACCGAGAACCTGCCGAGCGGGACTGGTGACCCCTCGCTGGGGGTGCTGAGGAGAGCCGGGTTGGACTGGCTGCCCCTCCTGGCCACCAGTACTCCCTCCAGCCTCACCTGGCCGAACCTCGCTGCTCCAAACACCAGCTTCCTCAGGGAGCTGGGCCCAGGGCTCTGGGCCTGAAGGCGAGAGCCAGCCTGGCTCCCAGGGTCTGCCTCGCCCTCTCCCAGGCAGGAGCTAGCTGCTGTCCCTTGTACCTCTCCACTGCCCTCAAAGAATTTTGCAAGTGGCCCCTTGTCCCATTTTAAGCTGGAGCTGGTGGCTGGTTTGAAGCCCCAGGTATCCCCCTTCCCTGCTATGGAAAGGCCGAGCTGCTGGGTGGGGCCAGAAGCTGCAGGGGAGGGAAGTGGCCTTGCTGTCGGCACTATCCAGGACCCTCTACAGTAGGACAGCTATTCCACACGTGTTCCCTCTACTCACCCCGCTTTCTGGGCAGTGCAGCTGGTGGTACTGGAAAGGGGGTGCCCCAGGCTCAGTGGGGACAGTGTTGGAAGGCCCAGAGGCCCAGTAAAGTGCATTTAACATTGAACCTGCCTGATGTCTATGAGCTGCTGCAGCCTCTGCCTGCCTTCTTCCACCCAGGCAGGGACAGGATGAGAAATGAAAGGAAGCGCCCAGAAAAGCTGTTTTAACTGCCCTCCAGACAGGCCTGGCCTGAGTCAGCTCCTAAACTCACAGCAAAAACAGCAGTGCTGTGACCAGGGAGAACTGCAGAGTCAGGCACCAGGAGTGCCTATCTAGCCATCAGCATCTTCTGCAGGCCCTGCCTTAGACCAGGCTGTCAGGGGACGTGAGCAAAAGTGACAAGACTCAGGAAACCATTAGGAATAACTAAATGGTGACTTGTGTACACAGACAGGGAAGGCTTCCCGAAGGAGGGAGAGGCAGGCTGGCAGGGAAATTGTCTCAGAGGAGTCAGCAGGCTCTGTTGGGGGACAATGAAGGGCCACTTTTAGAGGGGACACTTGTGCTGGGAGTCAGGAGCAGGTTGGGCTGTTGGAGGGCTGGAAGCTGAGCTACAGAGCTTGGTTTAATAGAGCAGACAGGAGCAGGTCCCGCTGGGGAGTACAGGATGGCTTCCTGAGGCTGGGCCTCACAAGGCAGGGAGACTTGGTGGGGAAGTGGGGGCATGGAAGGAGCTTCAGGCAGCCCAGTTATGAGGAGGAGTGGGCACAGAGTCAGAAGGAGGCTGTATTGGAGGAGGAGTGAGGAGCCTGGAGAGGCCCCGTGCCAGCAGTTAGGAGGTGATGCGTGAGGGCAGCTTCGGCTCCAGTGGGGGATCCCACCTTGAGTATGCTGGGTGGGCTACATCTCTGTTAGTAACTTGCAGAGTCCCGGAGCCAGGCTTTGTCCACCTGGTCTCAGTCATGGGATCCTAGCAGCCTGGGAGTAGGCCCCCCAACTCAAGCTCAGACCCCTGAAGTCTAAGTCAGGGGACCTTCCCAGCACCAGTCATGTAGGGAAAGGAATCAGAAGCCCACAGGACTTGGAGGGCCGTTTTGCAGCTCAGCACCAGCCCACGAGATGGCCAGTCCAAAGCCCAGAAGCCTTCTGAAGGGTGAGCCTCTCCCCCGAGAGCATCTACTCCTGGGGACACATGGCTGCCAAGAGCAACATGTGGGAGCCACATGGCTACTGCAGACTCCTGTCCTGGGTAGACAGGAGAGGGGCTGGGGAAAGCCCTGTGCCCACAGGTGTAAAGGCTGCATTTGGTCCCTCTCTGGACTGGTCCCAGTGCCTACTGCTGTCCTCAGCAAGAGCTGGAGTCAGCAGAAATCGAAAGATTGGGGTGTCTGGGTCCAAAGTTGCTTCTCTCCTTTTGCCCCAGCCTGCTCTAGCCCAAGAAACAGGACCTCCAGTGCCAGGGGCAGAGGGAACCAACGTGCAGCAGGCTGTTGTGTAGCTCGCCCAGGCTCTCTTCCTACGCACAGGTCCCAGCACTGCAGGGAGGAATACTGCTTACTTCTTTGTCTGAAATCAGAATCAGACCTCCATTCTGGACACCCCTTCCATCTGCCTTAACCCTTTCCCTGGAAGACTAAGAATTCAGAGACTGCCTTGAAACCATGCAGACTCCTGGTCCCACCTCCTGGCCAGGGCAACAGAAAGTCATAGGATAATGGGGAGCATGCCTCACCTCCAGTGACCCATCCTGGGTATCCCTTTGGCTGACACAGAAGCCCAGAAGCCACTGAGGCAGAGTAGCCGATGGAGGGATTTCTGAGTCTTGAGAAAGGCTGTCCAGTTTGAGGGTGAAATGAGGTTCTCTGAGTCCAAGTAAGAAAGGAATATGAGTATTGGGGGGTTCCCAGGCACTTTTGCGCTGAACCTGGTTCTTAGGCAGGCTTTCAGCCCAGTCCCCCATCCTGCCATACAAGGAGACTCCTTTTCAGGGCCCTGGTGGGAACTGGGGTCCTGTCCAGCAGCTGAGCACCCACACACCTACCACGCAGTCACCACCTGGCCTGGAGTAGGTGGAGAGGGACCCCACAAGCCTGCTCCCTGCTCCACCCCAGTTCCTTGTCACCCTGGTCCTTGAGCCAGGGTTGTCCTTGGACAGGCCATATGTGTGGCAGGCAGAATAATGGTCCCCTGAAGATGTCTTAATCCCTGGAACCTTTGAATATGTCACCTTAGTTGGCTAGAGGGACTCTGTGGATGTGATGGAGCTTAAGCATTTTGAGATGAAGTGATTATCCTGGGTAGTCCTGTGGGCCCAATGTAAACATGCGTTTTTTTTTTTTTGAGACAGAGTCTCACTCTATCACCTGGCTGGAGTGCAGTGGCACGATCTCAGCTCACTGCAACCTCTGTTTCCCAGGTTCAAGTGATTCTCCTGCCTCAGCCTTCTGAGTATTTGGGACTACAGACGTGCACCACCATGACCGGCTAACTTTTTTTATTTTTAGTAGAGGTGGGGTTTCACTCTGTTGGCCAGTCTGGTCTTGAACTCCTGACCTCGTGATCCACCTGCCTCAGCCTCCCAAAATGCTGGGATTACAGGCGTGAGCCACCGCACCCGGCTAAACATGTGTTCTTAAGAGCTACAGTCATGGCTGGGTGTGGTGGCTCACACCTGGAATCCCAGCACTTTGGGAGGCCAAGGCGGGCTGATCACTTGAGCCCAGGAGTTTGAGACCAGCCTGGGCAACATGGCAAAACCCCATCTCTACAAAAAAATACAAAAGCCAGGCGTGGCAGGGCATGGCCAGGCGTGGTGGTGCCTGCCTGTAATCCCAGCTACTTGGGAGGCGGAGGTGGGCGGATCACCTGAGCCTGGGAAGCAGAGGTTTCAGAACTTGCAGTGAGCTGAGACTGCACCACTGCATTCCAGCCTGGGCAACACAGTGAGACCCCATCTAAAAAAAAAAAAGCTACAATCAAAGAGAGACTTGATGAGGAAAGGTCAGAGAGATGTGACGTTCCTGGCTTTGAAGATAGGGAAACGTCTCCAGCCGAGTGTGAGCAGCCTCTAGGAGTCAGGGAAGGTAGGAAACAGCTTCTGCTCTAGAGCCTCCAGAAGTATCACAGCCCTGCTGCTGCCTGGCTTGATCTCAGGGAGACCTGTTGGATTTTGAGCTGGTAGAACTGTGAGATAATGACTTTATGTTGTTTAAGCCAGTAAGTTGGTGTAATTTGTTACTGTGACTACAGAAACCCAATAGACCATGTGCGTGTTGGGCTCTCCCTGTACAAAGAGGGCAGAGGGACAGCAAGCGTGGGCCGGCCCTGCATGAGGTGGAGGGCGTCCTCTGAATTGTGTGGGGGTGTCAGCCTCACATGAACCCTGGACCCCACTCACTCTTTCTGGCCACCACATGCTCAGTCTGAGCCTCTCTAATTTCAGTGTCTGACACTGTGCAAGGTGCACATCCTCCCTGGGCTGCTCTGCCCACCCGTACCAAGCTCGGAGCTTCATCTTTTCCCAGGGCCTGGGGTGGCGACATCCGTCTTGACCTTAGACCTGCACTAAGACGGGAGCAAGACAGGCCCCTGCCTTTCCTCCTGGGCTCTGGCTGCTCACAGGGCAGGTGTGGGCACGAGGCAGGGACCTCCCAGGCAGCACCTGGAGTGGGCACAAGGCTGGCAAGCCCAGCTATGTCCCATCCTACAGTTCCAATGGCTGGGAATGGCAAACCCAGGACCATTGTCTTGCTTCTCCAGGAGAATTATGGAATTACTCTTGCCTTAAATGGAATGGGCTGCCTCTTGCCAGGATGGAGGACTGGCTTGGAGAAGACTTGGGCCTCACTTCCACAATGGGGGCGCCCCTTTCCAGGCCCTCCCCTGTGGGAGGGAGTGTAGGGAGTGACCGCCTGTGCAAGTTACTGCTGTTGGGGCATCTGCTGCCAGGCTTGCAGCACCACCATGCCCGGCCATGCCTGGCTAAGTTTTGTATTTTTTTTATAGAGATGGGGTTTTGCCATGTTGCCCAGGCTGGTCTCAATGGGCTCAGCCCCAGGGGTCTCTCGCTCTATGTCTGTTCTGCTCTTAGTTTTTCAGAGCCCTTAAGCCACTGGGCAGTCCTTCTGAGCTCTGGAACTGGGGAGTCCTAAGGAATGAAGCCCCAAAGTGGTCTGAGGTTTTGGGCCAGGTCTCAGCCTCCTCGTCCTACTGGGGTGGCTCAGCAAGCCCTGGTCTCCACACTGCAGGGAACATCCCTAAAGAAGGCCCAAGGCTCAGAGATGAAGAGAGGCCCCAGGGGCTGAGGAACCATGGGGAGGGCCCGAGGTTGCCCCTGGAGGGCAGTAGGGACGCCAGGGAAGGCAGGCTGCTGCCCACTGCTTGAGTGGAGCCTCTGCAACGGTGGTGCCTTTGCCCTGCTGGACTCAGCCTAGCCCTGACCAAGCAGGCGCAGAGCTCCAGACACAGTGCACTTCCCCGCCCCTGCTCTGGTTCCCTCAGCTCAATTGTTGCTGTGTGTGTAGTGCCCCTATGTATGTATGTTCATGTTCCACTGTGGGGCATATGTGTGTCTAACACACATTTCCGGCCCCTGCGTTTGTGTGCTGCGTGGTCATCATCTTGTATCTGCGTACATGTGTGCAAAACCATGGGCATGTGTCCGTGTCCCTGTCTGTTTAGGTCTCTGGGTAGGCCCTGTGTAGTTAAGGGCTCAGGCAGAGCCTTGGGTGGAGGGAGGTGGGGGTCCCTTGAAGTTCCCAGTGGTCCTGGAGTCCCTCTGCAGATGGCAGTGGAGTCCTGGCTGGGCCCCGGACCCTATGTCCTCGTGTCCATGGAGGAGGCCGCAGGGTGGGCAGCCTGTGTCAGCCTTGAGCGGCCATCAATAGCTCGCGGTTAATTAATTTGATGGGAACAGCAGGGACCGCCGTTTGCATTTAGTGAAGTTCCAGGAACTTCCAAGCTCATCTTCATAATTGGCCTCATAAATTGTAAGAAAGAGAGAGATCAGCAAAGCAGGAGGGAGGAGGGGCTGCTCGTCCCTCCTTATTTAATTTTATTGCTGAAATTCATCTTTTTAGCCTCCTCTGCCGGAATCGGCTCTCCCTGCCGTATTTGCCTAATCAT